ATTTAAACGTAAATGGTTCGAGAGTTGCCGGTTAAAACAAGAAGTTACACGATTACGACTTAACTAGGCATTAACCGAACCTATAGCCGTGAACTCTTGAACATGATTCGATCATTAATACCTAAAATGAACTTATTGTCATGAAAAAGGGTTGAGGATGGCTATACCTCCTTAAGTGCTTGTCGGAATATCGCAACCGATCGTGACCTTGCGTGTGTGTGCGCCGTGTGCGATACTTGTCGTGCGATACTACTTGCCGTGCGTGCGGTACAATTTAACTAAGGCACTATGTTGGAATACTTGCTGCTGAATTAAGGACTAAAAATAAGACTATAAGGCTGCATATATGTGGTAAGAAAGGATGGAAAATTTTTCCAAACTCCACATCTATATAGACGGCCCAAAATGAGGACGGATGACGTAGTGAAGGCGTGGCCTTATTAGGCATTGGACATTTGCTACTTAGCTAGTGACTAAGATGGGTTAGTCATCCCAAACACACCTCTTAATGCCACGTAGTCAATACTTAAGAAGGAAGAAAGTTTGGTTTCCTTAGTACTTAGGAAAAAATGTATAAATTTTGGAATCATACACCATTATGCGTACGGCTTTAAGCCCTAATGCATAGGATTAATGCTAATTAATCAATTGTTATGTTTAATTATTTAATTAAACATAATGCTTAATTACCAAAATTATTTCGAACGTAAACGGTACGTCGAAAATAATTTTCGGTAATCCCGACTGAAAATAATTAATTCCGAAAATTAATACTTGACAAGATTAATAAATCGGAATTAAAACATAACTTATACTGATAAAATAACGGGATATTACAGGCTATGGTCGAGAAAAAAGTCCAAAATGCATTCACCGGTCGAAATAGACGACGTGATGCTCAAAAAATACAGACAAGAGTCTAGTCTTGGATCGATTCATTCAGACTCGACCAAAGTGAGGGGACTAGATGATATGGGATATTATATACACACTGGATCGGTTTGCTTGGTCATCCAAATAGATCCACTGGGCGGGTCAAATAGAGTAGTCGTCAAGTGATTAAGGTGGAGAGTCAAAGATATATAAACCCAAGAGCACCAGGAAGTCACTCGCTGCACCGACCACTGGTCGAAGAGTCAGATGGTAGAATAGCGGTGGTCAGGAAGTCGATCACTCTTTATTGTATGGACAACTCGGCGATTGTGCCAGATCTGGTCGAAACATCAGGACCTCTGAAGGAATCCCCAGCACGTGTCTAGGGGACGCGTGGCGAAAGCTGACTGGTCTATGAGGGTAACGGTTTCTGACAGATTATAACACATTTCTGACGTAAAAGATAGTGCAGGCAGGCGGCTGTATGGTCGGGCAGTTGGGGCAGCTAGCTCCTCATATTCGGGCAGCCTCTAGGGCAAGGTAACTCGCCTCTATAAATAGGGGCGAGATTTTTAGCTTTACATACAATCTTTCATACTTATATATTTTTCCATATACATTCTTCATCTTCTAAAGGCGGACTTGAGCGTTGGAGGCTCTTCACCGGAAAATCCCTCCGATGTGGGTGTTTCGTGCAGGTTTCAGCGTTCTACCGGCGAGGAATGCGAGCTTGAAGCGGTTCTTAGCCGTTACACTGGTATTAGACATCAACACATATATATACCTCTTCATTTGAAATGAAAATAAATAAAATACATTTTTATTATTTGGTAATAACTATTTATATAATATTAAATGTACATATATATAATAATTTATTTGAATAAAAATGAATAAAAAAATAATATATTTGATGTAGAGTAAAATGTAGAGATAAGGTTTGGAGATGAGACCTTCTCAAATGCAACGCCACTTCTTTCATTTCTCCAGAGTTGTGTGACAATTTTTCCTCCAACGCTAGCTACGCTAGAAGCTGGCATCATTCCAAAGATGTGAATAGTACATCGCCACATGTGGCGATGCACTGTAGTTCAGCACTAGGTTTTTCTTTATATATATATATATATATAAATATATATATTATTGATAATTTTGTGTAAAATATGTATTAGTAGATGTATTTGTGTTAAATAATTTGGTAATTTTACATATAGATGTATTTTAATTTTATTTTGTAAATTTTAATAGTACCATATAAATAAAAATATTTCATAAATATTTATATAATATACATAGATTTTTTGTATAATGTGTATTAATAATTTTGTATATATTTTATTAAGTAAAATAATTTTGACATATGTATATATTATTGTTCGTAACAAAATAATCTTGACATCTATATATATAAATATGGTCGCGCTGATGTTCAGTGAAAGAAATAAGAATAAATCATAGCCATTAGATCGGATGATCTAATGGGTTAGAAAAAAGCCAAAATAATATTTTCATTAAGGGTAATGTGGTAATTTTTTACACACCAAACAATGAGACCCCCACCATCACACACCAATAATACCCCACGTGGATCCCACCTCACAACTAATCTCTCTCTTACAATGTGGGTTTACTATCGTCATTCTTTGCTGACAGATTGACAGCTTTGCTTTCTTCATACGCCTTTGTACTATCCTCTCCTCTCCATCTTTCAAATCGTACCAACTTTTTCCCTTTCTTAGTCGCGAAGCCATGTCCAAAAGCTCTCACCAGCGACCAATTTATTGAGCCTCGACAATAATCTTCGGCCGTGTTTTTATCTCAGAAAAAAAAGGAAAGAACTAGAGGTGAGCTCTTCCTTTTTCAAACTGTACCCAAAACATAATCTTCTCCAACTCGCCTCGATCCTGTAACAAAATATTGAGTTTAATTAAATGTGGGTCCCATCATTGTAATTTATTAAAGCAAATTGGCAATTTACAGCTCAATTAGCGTGAAGAAAGAATCTCTGCCATTAGCACATGACAACTTGTGTTTGGTGTAATAATTGAGTTTGTATGCATTAACTACAAGGCTTTATCTGCTCACTTCCCTATAAACACTCCATCGGGAGAGAAAAAATACACACCAAGAAGAAAAAAAGAGATGGAAGAAAGAAAAAGGAAAAAAAATTAGATTTATGTCCAAGTATCGAATATAAAAATATCAAAAGAGAAGAAACAAGTGATATTTTAATTTGTTTATGATATTCC